TCCCAGTGGAGGGGGGTAAGCAGTGGGGTACCACAGGGATCAGTACTTGGTCCACTGCTTTTTAACTTGTTCATTAATGATTTGGAGTTGGGAGTAAGCAGTGAAGTGGCTAAATTTGCGGATGATACGAAGTTGTTCAGGGTGGTGAAAACCAGTGAGGATTGTGAGGCACTCCAAAGGGATCTGTCAAGGATGGGCGAGTGGGCGTCAACATGGCAAATGGGGTTCAATGTGGCCAAGTGCAAGGTGATGCACATTGGAGCCAAAAATCCTAAATATAAATACACATTGATGGGGTCTGAACTGGCAGAGACTGATCAAGAGAGAGATCTTGGAGTTGTAGTAGATAACTCACTGAAAATGTCGAGACAGTGTGTGACTGCAATAAAGAAGGCCAATGCTATGCTGGGGATTATTAGGAAGGGTATTGAAAACAGATCAGCCAATATAATAATGCCCCTATATAAATCAATGGTGAGACCTCATTTGGAATACTGTGTGCAGTTCTGGGCACCACACCTTAAAAAGGATATTATAGCTTTGGAAAAAGTGCAGAAAAGGGCAACTCGAATGATAAAAGGGTTGGAACACTTTCCCTATGAGGAAAGGTTAAAGCGCTTAGGGCTCTTTAGCTTGGAGAAAAGACGACTGAGGGGTGACATGATCGAGGTTTATAAGATTATGCATGGGAAAGAGCAGGTAGAGACAACAGTGGGAGGGCTTCTAATGTCCTGGCCCCACTGGTAGACCTCCTGATGGCACTGGTATTTCTGGCCACTGTGTGACACAGAGTGTTGGACTGGATGGGCCTTTGGCCTGATCCAACATTGGCGTCTCTTATGGTCTTATGTAGTATTTGGCTTTCCCACCAGTTTTTTTGGTGTTTTGCTCTCTGTGTGAGGACCCTAGAGCCTGTATTACAAAACTTTTTGCTGGTGCAAGAAAGCACAAAAGAGCCCTCAGTGGTGATATGATAATGGCAGAACTATATAGTGTATTTTGATAAGTGTTCTGAATATGTTAAAAATGTCAAGTCTGTAATGTGGGTACCTTAACACTTGCTGATCAGAAGTTTGGAAGCCCAGATTAAGATCTAGTTTATACATCCAAGGAGCGTTGGATGGCCTGCACCATTGTAAGAGAGGGTTTTGTGTGGTCGCCCCTCCACTTACTGAGCTGATGCTCCATTTGCAGGGAGTTGTTTTAGGATGTTCCAGAAATCGAATGATCTACCTGCAGTCTGACGTGGTGTGGTCCATTCTTCTCCCTCATTCCCACATCTTTACCTTGCGTGTGTAAAACGGACCTACCTTTGCTTAGTATTAAGAACAATACTACCTGTAGGTTTCTCCTGTCAGAGAGCTGAGGACTTGGGGGAGGGGGGAGAGGGACAGGTAAAATCAAAAGGAAGTTAACATTGCACAGCGCCGGGCCTTTCCTCTGGCAGAAAGTGTGTGTGTGTATGTGCAAAGTAGCTTCTGTGGTTATGACCGTGATATTTGACAGGTCTATTTTGCTGAAGTTGTTTAGACTCTAGCCTGGTGTTCAGACTAAATGGATGGCAGAAGGAATACGGGCATTTCTAAATGTCACAGATGCAGCTGGCACTTGAGTCTGGAAGTCAGCCACACTAAGGAGACCAGAGTAGGGATCAGAGGAGACGTGCTTCTTGCATTCAGCATCTAGCAAATTTCTTGCATTCAGATTCCTACTGGGGTTGCTCCCAGGAATGTATTCTGAGCATTGCAGAAGCTCTGAGAGATGCAAAAAGCCATTCAGGATTTCTGCAGGCAGGATAGAGACTTCATAGGTTTAAAGGGTTGATGTGCTTTAAAATCCCTCAGACTCTTATTTCCCCTGTGATGATCTTAAAAACAGCTTTGCTTTGGGGCAAATTCTGCAGAAGCTCAGGGGCTTTCCTTTCAAAATATGTAGGATTTAGGTGCTGGTTCCAAGGCTAACCCTTGTGGGGATGTACTAAAAGGAAGGACAGGATTGCGCATTGGAAACAATGGGAAACACTTGAAGGCCCATTGGAAATAATGGGAGCCAGAAATACCAATTGACTTGCATGGGCTCCACTGAAATACATTACAGTACAAGTACAGTAACAGCGTTCCGTGCGCATGCCAGCCACATGACCACGGAAATGTCTTCGGGCAGCGCTGGCACTTCGGCTTTGAAACGGAGATGAGCACTGCAACCCTAGAGTCGGATTCGACTGGCTTTCGAGCAAGGGAACCTTTACCTTTACTAGAGTTGCAATAAAAATGCGGAATGAATTTTCCATTAGGGTCTCTGGGCCCAAATAGACTACTCTGGGAATGGAATGAGAAACCACAGAGTTGAATGACAGCCCCTAGGACTGGGATTGAGATACCACGGAGTGGAATGACAGCCCCAGGAACTGGAATGAGAGACCACGGAGTGGAATGACAGCTAGGGTTGCCAGGTCTGAGTTGGAAAATACCTGGAGACTTTGGGAGTGGATCTAGGAAAGGGCGGGGTTTGGGGAGGGGAGGGGCCTCAGCATGGTACAATACCATAAAGGCCACCCTTCAAAGCAGCCATTTTCTCCAGGGGAGCTGATTGCCGTCAGCTGTAAAAGCGGGAGATCCCCAGGCCCCACCTGGAGGCTGGCAACCCTAATGACAGCCCCTAGGAGTAACAGAAGTGTTCTGGGACTGGGGTGAGAGGCCCCAGAGTGGAATGACAGCCCCTGGGGGTAGCAGGAGTGTTCTTCAACTGGAATGACAGGCTCCAGAGTGGAATGACAGCCCCTTGGTGTAACAGACATGTTCAGGGGCTGGAATGAGAGACCACAGAGTGGAATGACAGCCCCAGGGTGCAGCAGGAGTGTTCAGGAACTGGAATGACAGGCTCCAGCATGGAATGACAGCCCCAGGGTGCAGCAGGACTGTTCAGGGGTTGGAATGAGAGACTATGGAGTGGAATGACAGCCCCAGGGTGTAGCAGGAGTGGAAAGACTCTGAGTGTTCCCAAAGCAAATATTTTTCTGTGTAGAGCAGAGCATCTGGCCCCAGAAGGTCTGCCAAGAGCTACGTTTTGTGCATCTTATCAGGAAACTCCCTAGTTTCAGGCTGAAGCAAATAAGCCAGGGGTGATGCCAAAAGACGGCCCCTCTGTTCATTGATGTTTTCCACTGTTCCGGGACCAGATAAGCAGACACAATTACTGACACTTAAGATACAATAGAGAGGTGCCAGCTCAAATGATGCTCTGATGATGATACCTGTTGAACACCAATTATGGATTTCTTTCTGTGTAAATTGTCCTGATGTCATTTGGGGCATAAGACCTATGGCCCTTCCTGGTTGGGGCAGAATACAGCTTGGTGTTACTGGGTGCCAAGGTGTCCAGTCCTGTATTTTCCTGATTATTACAATAAATATTTATCCTCTCCCTGGACTCCAACCGTGCGTTCCTTATTTGGCCCTTGAGCACACGGGGCATAGATTTGTGTATCAGTTTCTGGAGACACCTCTTGCTCTGAATTATTGCATCAAAATGTCTGTGCTGTTGCAATCTTGAGTATGCTGTTCAGGTGTGTATCTGTAAGCTGCAAACCTACAGTGATACAGCAGCAGCAGCAGAACTGGAAGAAGAAGCAGAAGACAGCCAGTTGCACTGCGAGCCTGATAGAAGCCCTCTGGGGGCCTGATCCGGCCCCTGGGCCGCATGTTTGACACCCCTGACTTAGAAGCATATGAAATTGTATTGTATGGTAAGTAAGTATAAATATCTTCATTGTCTATAAGGAAAATTGCAAGTATACCCAGTATTTCAGAAAAAGTTGCCGGGTGGTTCACCCTGCTACCACAGTACACGTGTCTATAATTGTTACCATCTGAGGGGTAGGAAAAAATAAAAGTTGAAGGAAACATATTCTGTACCAAAAAAGATGGGAAAGAAAGATAGTGTACTATTTGGCCAGAAGCTCTCATCCAGTTACAGTCGGAAGGGCTGTCAGCATGTCTGGACTTTAAGCTAAATGTTACATGGTTGGTGGTGACACTGAACTTTTTAATAATGTGTCATAATGATGTATCACCGTTAAACACATTGTAGCCTATTCATTGTAGCAAAAATTATATACATTATTTTCATTTACATTGTTTACATTTAAAAGATTGTATATGTCTACAGTGTAAGAGCTTTTGTTTCAGTGCTCCCCTAAATTTCCCCATTTTTCCTCATACTTTTAAAATTTATTTATTATTTGTATTTATATCCTGCCCATCCCGCAGGTGGGCTCAGGGCGGGTAACATCACTGAAATAAATACAATTTCAGTTTAAAATATTAAAGATTAAAACACAATAAAATATTACAACAATTACAACAATGGGTACAGCTTGGAGGAGCATGAGTTGGCTATAAAATTCTGGCCTGATGGTACGATGGCTTAAAGGCCAGTTGTCGGTGGTCAGTAGACAGATGACAGCATACCGTACATTTGGCTTTGTAAGGCAATTTCCCCCCCCACACACACAAATAGAAGTTTTTTTCAGTGGTACCCCAGATTTTGCCATGAGGGAAATATGAAAAAGAGCGTGGGGTGGGGAACAACCGGGGACAAAAATTTATTTTCTTTTCTGGGCCCTCACACCTCTACTTCTTTGACCTTCAATCTTTCCCAGCATCAGGGTTGTTATTGTGTAGTGGGTTGACCGCATGGCTAGGCCCACTCAGCTCCCATAACATGCTGCACGCTTGACTCTTACACAACTCAGACAAAGACAAATGGCCAGGAGGCCAACTATCTACATATCCAGGGGACACCCCCTGGATCCCATTGGGGGGTTCGAATCTCCCTCCCATGTTTCTATTGGCTCCCTGTTGGAGAGACCAGGAGCCCAGTTCCCATTGTTCACCCAGGGTCAAGCTTTGGGTAGTCGCTGGCCCCTGGTGGCGGCCAGCGGACACAACATCCCTCCCCCCATGGTTCGCCCCCCCTATGTCACATAGTCCTTTAGGTACGCCGGGGGCTGCCGCTCTCTGGTGGATCGTCTGGGGCTCGGAATAGGGACCTCGGGGGCCCGTTCCCCATGCCGGGGAGCGCCTGTGGTGCCGACCCCTCAGGTTCTGGAGTGCCGGCTGTTGAGGCCTCCTCAATGGCCTCCGGGGAGTTATGGGCCCTGTCGGGATGCTCTTCCATGGGCGGATCCTGCGCCGGTGCGACTGGGGAGCCCCACTCTGGGCCGATTCCGTGTTCCCTCTCCTCTACGTCCGTATGATCCGGAAGCAGGCGCCGACGAAGCTGGTCGATGTGCCGCCGCAGTACTTGCCCGTCTTCTGTTGACACCTCGTACATCATGGTGCCTGTGGGGCGGATGATGCGGCCCGCAACCCATTCCGGCCCTCTTCTGAAGTTCCTTGCAAAGACAGGGTCCTCTGGGAAGAAGCCACGGGGTGCTTTTCTCTGTTCTGGGTCGTTCCATGTCTCCGGAGCCCTGTCGGGGTGCAGCCGGTCCAGCAGGGTGGTGGGCCTCCGGCCCATGAGGAGTTCGACTGGGCAGCGTTCACTTACTGGGTTGGGCATTGTCCTTTGTGCCAGGAGGAAACAGGCGATGCGGCGTTCCCAGTCCCCCTCCGTCAGGTGGCTCAATGCTTCCTTAGCTGTCTGGACCATCCTTTCCGCCTGACCGTTCGTTGTGGGGTGGAAGGGTGCTGACCTGATGTGTTTGATCAGGTTGCTGCTCAGGAACTGCTGGAATTCCTCCGACGTGAACGCTGTCCCGTTGTCCGAGACGATGGTGTCAGGGAGTCCGTGGGTGGCGAAGATCTTCCGGAGGGCCCTTATGGTCGCTTTCGTGGATGTAGTCAAGACGGGGCTTATCTCCAGCCACTTTGAGTAGGAATCCACAGTCACCAGGAACAACAGTCCTTGGAATGGTCCGGCGAAGTCTATGTGTAGCCGGGACCAAGGGGCTCGTGTGGACTCTCACGACTGGGCTGGCGCCCCCGGTGGGCTGGGTCGGACAGCCTGACAAGTCTGGCAGCGTTTCACCCAAGCCTCGACTTCTCCGTCGATGCCTGGCCACCACACATAGCTCCTTGCGAGGGCTTTCATCCTGACGATGCCCGGATGCACTTAATGCAGGGCCTTGAGAACCTTTAACCGGAGGGTGCCGGGGACCATGACCCTGTTGCCCCACAGCAGGCAGCCTTTGTGTGCCGATAACTCCTCTAGGCCGGCCGTGAATGCCGTGAACTCGGGGCCCTCAGGCTTCCCCTGCCACCCCCTCACCACCCAGCCCAGCACCCAGGATATGATGGGGTCCTGGGCCAAGCGGCAAGCAATGTCCGCAGCCTGGAGCGGTGCCTCTGGTAGTCCCTCCAACTGAAGGACGAGGTGTGCAGGGGCTGGATCCTCCAAGCCCTCCGGAAGGGGCAGATGGCTCAGCGCATCTGCGTGGTCCATTGCTTTCCCGGGGCGGTGCTCTAGCTTGTACTCGTAGGCCGCCAGGAATATGGACCATCGCAAGACCCGGGGAGATATGATCTGGGGCGTACGACGATCTGGTGCGAAAAGTCCAAGCAGTGGTTTGTGGTCCGTGGCAATGGTGAAAGGCTGGCCGTAAACGAAGTCGTGGAACTTCTTGACCCCCGCGACAATAGCTAGTCCTTGGCCCCTGCCACACGGCAGGGGAAAAGCCTCTTGAGGCGCGGCTTTTAAAAGCCGCGCCAACGTTGACACGGCTCGGTGGGATCCCACGGATCCCCGGCCGAGCCGCCTTTTCTCCCCGGCGCGATCAAACGCCGGGGAGAAAAGACGGCCCTAACCGGGGGCCGGCCGAACTGCGCATGTCGGAGCATGCGCAGTTCGGATCCGGGCCGGGGTTGTGCCGGCGCAAAGACGCGCCGGCGATCAGACGCCCGGGAAGAGGCGCCTCATCCATTTGAACCACCGAGGTAGGTGGTTCAGTTTGAGGCGCATTTTCCCGGGAAAGGGACAGTTCGGCCACGGAAGCAAGACGCTTCCCAGATGTTGTGGTGTGATCGCGCCGGTTTGATCCGGCACCAAACTGTCCCGTTCCCGGGCCAAATCGCCTCGTGTGAACGGGGCCCTTCCTTATCAATCTGGGCGTAGTTCCTCTCGGCCGCCGACAGGGTGCGCGAGTAATATGCCACCGGGACCTCCTGGCCATCAGGGAGACGATGCGCCAGTACCGCCCCAACGCCGTATGGAGAGGCGTCACATGCCAAGACGATCGGCAGAGCCTCGTTGAAACGGGCCAGGACCGGGGTCGAGATCAAGAGTTCCTTGACGTTCCGGAAAGCCGCCGCCTGGCGGGGTCTCCACAG